TACCTAGAACCCCTAACAAACCAATTTTTAAAATAATTGATGGAAATGTTTTCTCTGTTTACTCACATATTTCCTTAATGCAGTAAAAGTTGTATTTCCAGAATAGTTCTTCTAAAACAGAACCTCAGATATATGTATGACTCACTTGGGAATCTTCTTACAATGCAGATTTTTATTCATTAGTTCTAGGATGCAGCCAGAAATTCTGCATTTCTAACAAGCTCCTGAATAATGATGCTGCCTGCTGATCCTAGGACCAATCTGATAGCAAGGCTTTAGACTTATGTTTCTCAAATTTATTTAATCACAGAATGCTTTAAAAAGTATTTTGTACTGGCAACACCAGCATATGTTTGTGAGATGTAATGTGTACTTAGGTCTAGAGCTAGTAAGCTATACAGCCTAAGGGCCAAATCTAGCTGACTCCTGGTGTGGCACTATAGGATCAGCACTGGACTGCGAACCCCAGGCTTGGCAAATCAAACCCAAACCCTCCAGCTGTTCCTTGGAAACCCTCTACAGGGTCACTATGACTTAGGATCGGCTCATATTACAAGTAGAACTTTATTGAGCCAGTCATGCCCATTTGTTTACATACTGTCTATGGCAACATCAAGAGAACTGAGTACAAGTGTTGTTAGGTGCTGTTGAGTCGGTTCCAACTCATAGTGATCTAGTGTATAACAGAAGAAAACAATACCTAGTCATGTGCCATCCTCACAAGTGTTATACTTGAGCTCATAGTTGCAGCCACTATGTCAAGCATTCTAGCTACATTTCTTCCAAGAACTACTTCTGGCAATCCATGGTATAGTCCATGTTCTTTGCCTACACCATAATTCGAATTCATCAGTTCTTTGGTCTTCTTATTCATTGTTCAGCTTGCATATGCATATGAGAAGGCTTTAAAAAGCTCATGGAGAAATTCCATTATCTTTTCATTACATAGTTCCATGTACTTTTTGAAACCCACTCTTAGGAGACAATTGATGGCCTGATCCTCAAAATGACATCTGCTTTTTTTTTTTTTTTAATGTTTTGTTTGTGAATTATATGATAGCTTATATGGAAGAACATTAGTTTTACATTCATTCTATCATTTCATTGCCATAGTTACAATCCCCTCCATGCATCATCAACCAACCAAAGGGTATACCCTGCAAGCCTGACCCCTACACTACACCCCCTCTCCACCCCCAAGTCTTCAGCACACAGTCACTCTCCCTCTCTGGATCTAAAGTCCCCAGCTGCTCCATCTCTCCATGTCATCATCTCTGCCTCCATCTCAGGCATCACTGCTTCTCTGTGTAGGGGTCCTGCTCTCGGCTCTTTTCCAATGATGGTCCTAGGGACCTCCGCTCCTAGACTGGAAAGTTAATCACTCCCTTCCTTGCTATAAAACGTCTACCTTTACATTTCCAACCATCACAATCAGTCCTGACATCTGCTTTCTAACACTTTAAAGAGATCTTTTGCAGCAGATTTATCTAGTGTATATGTTGTTTGATGTCTTGGCTAGCTGCTTCCATGGGCATTGATTGTAGATCCAAGTAAAATGAAATCTGTGACAGCTTCAGTCTCTTCTCCATTTATCATGATGTGCGCTTATTCATCCAGTTGTGAGGATTTTTGCTTTATGTTCAGTTATAATCCATATGGAAGGCTGTATGTAGCCTTTGATCTTTATCAGAAATCTTGAAGTCCTCTTCACTTTTAGCAAACAAGGTTGTGTCCTCACTTAATTCACAGGGATAGATTCCAAGACCCCTTTACCCCATGGATGCCTGGAACTGATAGTACCAAACCCTATGTATACCATTTTTGTCCTATAAATATATGCCTATAATAAAGTTTAAGGAGCTCTGGTAGCATAGTGGTTACGAATCGGGCTGCGAACCACAAGATTAGTAGTTAGAAACTACCAGCAGTTCCGCGGGAGAAAGATGAGGCGTTCTGCTCCCGTAAAGATTTACAGCCTTGGAAACCCTGTACAGGCTTGTTATGAGTCGGAACCGACTCTATGGCACATAACAACATGTGCTCATTTAACGTTTTTGTACTGCAGTTGACTGTGGGAAACTGAAACCCTAGAAAGCAAAATGGTGGATAAGGGGAATACTGTCATTGCAACAGAGATCAAATGGCCCACAAATCGTAAAATATTTACTAACCCCTGGCTTCAATTAAAGTTTCAGTTGAATAAATTTGATTCATTACCCAAAACAAAAACATCATTGATGATTTTCTTCTTTGAGGAATAGAGTATCATAAGTACCTGGAGAAATTTTCAGAGTGTACTGCATATTCCATACCTTCCAGTCCTCCATAGTTACTAAATTCCTGAATGTGCATGCGTGAGTGTGCATATCTAAAGGGAGACTGATAGAATTTGGGCACATCAGTCATTTGAAAATCTTTCCAGGTGATTCTGAATGTGCCAATTCCCTCATTAACAGCATTGCTTTTCTTAAAAAAAATTAATTTTGTAATAACAAAGAAAACACAGTTGAAATAAAATAAGATATATATAATATATATACACCAATATATGCCAGCAGTCATCAAAATACATACATCACTATAACATACAATAGACCCGCCCACTAATTTTACCTTTGGAATAGCATTTTGTAAAACTTGTTTTTAAAGGCGATAGTTCAAATATTGTCAGCCGTAAACTTGTCGTGTTTCTCATACTGAAGTGTAGGGTAATATTTTTAAATTTAACACATACAAATTTTGATGCTTCAAAATAAACTACTTCAGCCTGAGTCTTGTTCTTTTCTCAAATAACATGGTTCTCAAAAATTTCTTTGTAATTTATCAGATTTAGAGATGCTTGTGTGGTACTGTTGGATAATACTGGACTGTAAACCACAAGGTCAGAGGTTTAAACCCACCAGCTACTCCTCAAAAACCTTGTACAAGTACAAGGTCACTTCGGGTCGGAATGATGGCGCTTAACAACAATATGTTAGATAATGGTGGCTCTCTAATAAAGGAACAGTAAAGGGATTTTCCTTTGTAGATTCATAGATGGGTTTTACATTTGTACAAGGAGTCCTGGTATGTTGTATAAAAAATAAAACTCATTAAGGGAATAAAGTCTTAGCATTTGGAATGCTTTTCTTTTCAAATTTCTGGGTGGAACTATAAATGGAAGAAATCTATACCTTTTATTACAAGTATTCTAGCATTGTGATCTGTATACTGTATCATAAATAGTTAAATCCTAGGCACTTTGTGTTTCATTCACCTTTCTTATTTTCATAGAACTTCATAGCAACTGAAGTACTCAAGTTGTTCAGTCTTAAAAAGGAGTCCAACCACAAAACAGACTGGCAGAAAATGATGAAATTTGGAAGAAAGAAGAGAGACCGAGTAGATCATATCCTGGTGAGTATACACAACTGAATTTTTATTTGACCATATTTTGTAAATTCAGAATGTAGTTAGATTCTAAAAGGAAAGGTATGTGACTTAGCCTGAGTCTGTGATATTAAAATCTTTAAGCCTTCATTTGCTGCATTTCTACCCTCTCTGTTTTGGAAATTGCTTTTTCTTTTGTTCTCAGTAGATGAATAACTAACCTAATTGACAGTGTTTTGTGGGTGTGGATAACTTGAGAAATAATAATTAAATAAATAAAATCTTGAATGGAAGTTTTTTAAAGAGTTTAATTGAAAAGAGAGCAGTGGATTTCAGTGTGAATTCTGTTGCCAGACTTCCTGAGATTAAATCCCTGTTCTGCCACTTCCTTAATGTTAGGAAAGTTTTCTAATCTCTTTGTGCTGTATTTCCCAATATGCAAAATGAAGATGCTAATAATAGTACATTCTTGATAAATAAATATTTATGTATGTGTAAAGCACTTAGAACAGTCCTACTTTCATATAACTCAGTAAATGTTAGCTGTTATAGCATTATTTAGCAAAAATTTTTACATGTTCTTTCATCCTTCCCTAAAAAGTTAAATAGTAGCAAAATTTAGTAGTCTCAGGTACTATTTAATCTAGGTTTCCTTCTAAACATTTTCATTCTGAACTTTCTACCTTAATCAATATTGATAATTATATCATGAAAAAAAATTTGATGCTTAAATATATCAGGTTTTCCCATGTATGTGTTTCTCTAGTGCCTCATTCACATAGTAGTAACTACAATAACATTTGTCTAATGGAGTCCTAAGGAGCTCTGGTAATGTAGTTGTAACAAATTGGGCTGCTAACCACACAAGGTCAGCA